GTGCAGGACCTTGCACCTGGTCTTGTTGAACCTCATGAGATTCATGAAGGCCCACCTCTTCTGTTTGTCCAGGTCCCCCTGAATGGCCTTCTGGCCCTCAGGCACGTCAACTGTACCACTCAGCTTGGCATCATCTGCAAATTTGCTGAGGGTGCACTCAATCTGTCTACAAGGAAAGTGCAGTTTTTTATTTTCCTTTTGATCTTACTGCATATACCAAATGGCATCAAAAGTACTATTTTTCCTTTTCCCTGTACAACTAAAGATTTTGCATCAGGTCTTTTTTTATTTATTTATTTGCTTTATTATTGCACCATTTCCTGATTTTTCAAGTACTACTATTTTTTTTTTACATTGATGCATTCAAAATATGGCTCCTAACACATCACTGTCCTGTATTATTACCACATCAGCTACACTGATCCTTCACTTGTTCTTCCTCCTCTATTAATTACTTATTCTGATATTTGATAGTTCTGTTTATGTGGTGCAGCATGCAATAGCACTTGACTACACTCAATCAAAAAACCTCAGTCAGTTCGGTTATGTCATAACTGCTTGTCTGCACACCCACAACAGAGGTCAGAAAGACGATGGCAGGATGGGGAGCCCAAATAATACTCTGCCGACCTACTCCCTAACCCATTCACACAAGTCATCAGCCCATCAAAGGCCCATCTGCACAGGCTGAGAGAGAACAGGGATGCACTATGGCAGGTGGGAACCCATATTAAGGGCTTCTCAACACCTTGTCTGGGCCTCTCTCAGGGTTGTCCCAGCAAAGCCATCAGCCCCATTGTCCAGGCACAAAACTCATCATGAGTCATCAGGATTCCTCTGGATTACCTTTTGGACCAAGGGTGGCAGGGTGAGAGGGGGGTGAGAAGGTAGGGTTCTTCTCTTGTGATTGGACACATTATAGCAGGGGAAAGCTATTTGGGATCACACAGGATTTATTATGGGATATTTAGGGTATGAAAGCAGGAAAAGAGAGGAGGTTAGGTGATTTGGGGAAGAACGAGTGTGAGAAATAGGGAGTAAGATATATAAAACCAGCCAGTCGTGTGTAAATAGCTGGCTAGTCAGTAAGCTTGTCTGGCCATGCCCTGCACCTGATCAATGCAGTTTGCTCTATCTTATTAAATTCCTGGAAGAGAGGAGGTCTATTGTGTCTGTGTGGGCAGGTGTGAGTGCCAGCAACTGGAGTCAGATCACAGGTCAAAGAGCCTGTGTGTCCATGGTGCCAGCAACTGAAAAGAGTGCAGGTGTGTGAGTGAGCATGTGATTGCTAGCAAAGATCAAATCAGACTAGTTGGTGATCAAGTGGCCTCAGAGCACAGGGGTGAATGGGTCTCCAAGGGCCAGCTCTGGAGGAGGTGAGAGCACCTGTGTATCTCTAGGGGTGAGAACACTGGGGGTGGGGGAGTAGAGGTCAACTAAGGGACCTGGAGAGTCCTGGCCAGCTGTTTGTCTGCATGGTCTGTACCAGCAACTGCAGTAGGGCTACACCCTTGGGCTATCCATATTCAAGTGCCAGCAATTGAGGAGGGGGGCCAGCTACTGAGCAGACTGAGTGTCTGAGCCCAGCTGCTGCAGGGAGCCACCTTGTACATATGTACATGTGTTCTCATGAGTGGACTTCCATCTTGCTCAGCCAGAGAAGGGAGCAGGATGAGGCTGTTGGTGCTGTCTATGTTTGTGTGAATGCTCTGAGTGCCTGTTTGTGATCCACGTGAGCAGCCATGTATATATGTATAGATGTATATATGTATTGTGTATGTGTTTTCTGTGCGCCTATACCTACTGAGAATACATCTTCAGCCTTGCTACTGGCTGGACCTGGGGACATGCAGTGGCAGCAGCCTCGCCTCTCTTGGACTGTTGGATCCAGCACAGTATGTTTTCCTCTAACACAGTCTTTCTCAGACATCATGCTTTACAGACTTTTCCCAGTGGGAATCTAGATTTAAAGACCTCTCAAAAGTTGTGACAGTATGGAACTGACTGATAAGAAACACCAAAATGTAACTGTAACCATGTATGGAAAGCCTAGGGGAATGCAAATAGAAGAAAATGACAGAATTGATTAAGTGTGTGCAAGAATGGCAGGTTACCCGGAGGATTAGGATTTTGGAAAATAGGTTAAAAGAAAGTACCTCATATAATTTATTTCTATATTCTGCCACAGACAGCTGGATATCATCACCTAAAGGAAGAATCACATCATAATCCAGAGAGGGCTCCCTGGCAGGACAGTGAAACCTAAGAAGATGACACATAATATAATTCACTAAGACTAAAAACAGTACCACAGATTAATATAATGTTAAAAAGGATTGTTAAATCATCTAGTGTGACCTCGAGCACAAATAGCATTAGGGAAAATTAAGAATTAACTTAGCCTTTTTTTTCCCCTATCATGTACATAAAGAAAACTTGTGCCAAGAGCAGGTCTATAACATCTCAGAAGGCATCAGGGGAAACTGCACATTGGTATCACTCTCACCTTTTCACATATGGATGCTGCAAAGCCTCCTCTGCTGTGAGTCGTTTATCAGGGTTAAATACTAAAAGTTTCTTCAGAAGATCCAAGGCAGGCAATGGAGTAGAGGATGGTAAAATCTCCTCAAATGTTACTCGCTGCCTAGAAGTCAAAAACCAACAATATAAACTCCCAGTGTCTAATTCACAGTGAAGGCATGAATTACAGTCCTGGGAATCACATCAAGCTGACACCTGACTCCAGAATTCACTCACAAATAGTGTGTCATAATCCTGGAACACTCTAAAGTACAGGCCTGTGAGTATGGGGAAGGCTTTGAATGTCTCCCTCCTAGCGCTAGGAACCTACATGAAGTGCCTAACTTGCAAATCTAG